ATAATATAGTTGCATTGTGTTTTATTTTGAATAAGACATATATTTTTATCTTGAATTTTAGTTTTGAAGTATTCATTATTTCAATAATTTTGTATTAAATCCTTAGATTTAATCTTATAATCCCATTTACAACATCTTTTCAAATATATCTTTTTTGACTATATTTTATTAATCTTTACCAATTGCTAGCATTTGAAGTATATAGCTATTTGACTTTATAAATTTTAGGTCTTTGATAGCTAATATACTCAACTTTTGGTCTATAATTTTCATAGAATATTCTAATTAATTTTTGTCTAAATAAACTGAAAAGGCAATATACTTTTTCTTTCTTTAGAATATAACTCTTGCAAATTGTCTTTTATATAAATAGCTCACTGTTGAAGTATTTATAGGTCTAATAATAGCTAAATCATTGTATTTTTTTTCTAATTTACATATATTTTCAATATAATTATAATTAATAGTTATCAGAAAATGTTTATTGATCATTTCATAAAGTTTAATTTATTAATTATATGGTTTTTTTCTCTAGTTTGTTTTTTTATTTTTATTTTTTTTTAACTTGAAGACTTTTTGATATAAATTAAAATAATCATTAAGATAATATTAAAAAAGAAAAAAAGATTAAAATTCTAACTAGAATCAATATTGATATACTGTAATATAGTATTAATATAAGTAATATGATCAATAGTAACTACTGGATAATCATAATTACCATGTACTTAAATATTTTGTGCCAGGTTTTGTTAATCATATTTCATATAATCACTTTTTGAGTATACAATTATGCATATATTTATAATTTCTATGCATATTTGTATAACTTCTGATTAACAACTTGTATACAAATTTTAATATATATTTTGATATAGTACTTTTAAAATTTTTTTAATATTTATTATTTTTTTATAAATATTTACATACATTTTCTTAACAATATGTATGTACTATTTAGAGATAGGTTTTTGTATACATTTATATGCATTTATTTTATCTAAATTTTATATAAAAAAAAAAGTAAAATTTCAAAAAAGCAGATTTAAAAAAAAAAAAAAAAAAAAAAAAATTAACTTAGAAAAAAATTTTTTTTATTGTTTTTTTTGATGTGATAAATCCTTTTCAAAAAAAAAAGTGTATATTAATATGCATTTATCCTATTACTAGTACTACTATTCTGCATTAAAGTATTTATATTATTAGGTAAATAAAGTGAAGCTTATAGTACATTTTCAAATAGATTGAAATAGGCTATTCAAATAGTTCAAATAAAACCAATTACTATATAGCAAAGACATAAAGCTGCCATAGTTATATTTTTTTAATCATTAATATGTTTGAACTAAATTCTATATTTTCAATGAATAAAAAATATAGAAGCAAGCCCAAAATACTAGAATTAGATGATTGCTTCTAATAATATAAACTTGAATATTTTAACAATTTATAGTTTAGTATTTAAAATTTATTCAAACCCATCAATGTTACATTTAACAATTGCTATTACAGTATTGTATATATAGCAGTGTTGTCAATTGGACAGTTTTTAACAATTTTAATAGGTTTGAACAGGGTTTTTGACATATAAAAAGTTGTTCAAACCATGTCCAAAACTGTCCAATTGACAACACTGATATATATATATGATATATAAATTATCTTTTCAAAAAAACACTAATAATAATAAATTTGCCTGTGTTACAAATTAAGAAACATTATTTTTTAAAAAAGTCGGCACGAAAATATTTGCTTGTATTTACAAAACATATAAAATATAAAAAATATGATTTTTTACAGAGCAATTTCAAAATTCCTTGTCGCAATGCATCGGAGTTAGGGTTAAGGTTAGCTATACTAGTTAGCAAGAGCTATAGTAAAATTACCAATTGGAACTTTTTAATTAATAAACGACTATAAATTCATTAGTAAAATTTTTAGTGATCTTGGGCAAAATTGATAATTCCGGCCCATCCGACCAGAAATCCCTAGGGATTTTGGGGTGTTAAAAATGGGACCACGTATGCACATATACGCACATTGCAAATACATTTGTTTCTATTTTTAGCTGGCATCATAATCAAATTTTTGTCGTTATCTCCGAACGCATAACGATGCCAGTTTTTCTAATTATATAAAACAAGATAGTTAACAATTCAAAAATTTAATCAAAGGCAATTATGATAAAATCAAGAAAACAATTAAAATAAAAAATAAGGTTTGTATAATATTATAGTAGAATATTATACGGCTTTTAAACAAAATGAAAATTTTAAATAATATGTAGGGAGAAACTATTACACCCCTCTTCTGGAAGGTCTACTATGACCTACTAATCACACCAACTTATCTGGATACACCTTATCCACATCTTGGGTCACGATATTTGTAAAACTTCCGATTCTTACAAAAATCTGTTCACTTGCAAAAGAATTGTTATATACATTCTACGTATACACAAGTTAGTGTAATATTTAATTTCAGGAAATATTTTATGTAAATCATAGTTCCGGAATCTCCGTTTATCACCTTTTTTTAAGAGCAAATTTTCTCGATACAAAACAAACAGATCTTTTATGTATTTTTTTTTAATTCACTTCTCCATCGAAGACAAGGTAACCTGAAGAGGAAAATCTACAAATAAACATATTCATTTAGAATTGCCAATTCTGGAAACACAGCACTTACTGTAAAATAAATAAGATTAATACTTATTAATACTAATATTACGCCTATCCGCATAATTTAAAGATTCAATTGAACAATGAAACGTAGAGATTCGTATTATCAAACGCGACTAGTTGATACAAGGTGTTTCACAAATCTTCACGAGTTCAACGCAGAACCTAATAGTGGTTTTGCCTTATGGATTCAAATTTCCGAGTGAGCAGATCATTCTAAATACATATATAATGTAATTAACGCCATCCGCGCGTGATTTCCAGGTGACAATGACACAGCATTATATATCCTTTTATAAATGCTAATGATTGAAAAAAAAGCAAACACGTATATATGTATTGGTGTTCAGAATCGTGAAATTTATGCTTGTACAATTAAACAATTATATCGGTGTACAAGATAAAATATACGGATAATTAGGCTAGAAGAAGAATGCCGCATTACTTATTGTAAAAAATAATGAGATTTTCAAACAATGAGAATTTTTGAACAATGAAATTAGGAAAAGAAGTCACGAACGAATTAACCATATCTTAATAAATCTTAATACTCTTAGGATAAAAATTTTGTCATAAGGTGAGAGTGATTCATCTATGAGTTGACATTTTTGATTGTTCAACGCAAAGTAGTATGTTTACGCGACAAGGAAAAAATACTCCGCATCTTAAAATAGAACCACCTTCTAATATATTTTAAGGAATTTTGTACCTATTTTTATGTAATGGTGATACAAGTGCAAGTTTCTTTCATGTATAACTATAATAGGTTAGAGTATCATTAACTTTCAGCTTGGCATGGGATAATCTAGATGCATGTTAGAATTCTATTTAGAATTATCAACATTGTTTATTTCTTAACATTATGGAATAATCAAAAAATGTACATTTTTGTCTGCATGCATTATTACTCTCAGTAGAATTTTTTGGTAAATTTCCCGATAGGTCAGAACCTTTTTTATTGAATATATATAGTAAATATAATAGCATAAATACTTATACTTTTTTTTTATTTGTGTTCTTCAGGATTAATTAATATCAAGTTCATTCATTAATGTTTAAAATAGTAATAGCATTTACGATAGCATTTATGATAACATTTATGATAGCATTTATGATAGCATTTATGCATTAAATAAATGCTGTATATACATTAGTCAAGTCTGGAGAAAATGGCAACTTCGGACTTCGGAGGATAGTGGACAAAAAACTTTCAAATTTATGGAATAATATAGTGATGGCGTATCTACGTATCTGCATGATCAACAATTTTTTTTGCCTTTGAATATTGTTATATTAGAAAAACAAACATGGAATAATTTATCTAAGGAATTTCTCGGAAAGGATTAGTGATAATCTAACTTCGGTAACACCGAGAGCTCGACATTCCAAATCCATATGATCGAATTTTACCCATGGGACTACGTAGAACAACATATATTTATCCATTTTAAAAAATAATTTTACCGCATAACCTTTAGATTTGGTTTGCCTAATTTATAACTCTTAAAAAGTTTCAATAATAAGGTTTGTTGTGCGATCTAAATTGCAAATCTTTCCTTAATAACCGATCTTACTCAATTGTATAATTAAGAGAAAATAGTATCTTTAATTATGTTTTACAAAGACTAATTAACAAAATATACGGACAAATACACAAATACTTGAATACGTATGCGCAATTTATGCTAATCGAATACGTAGAAATTTTTAATTGTTCCAGTTACCATATGAATTACTAAATTACTGCAAATATTAATACGTGTGTAACTTTGGTGTTTTCACAGAATGTTTATACTTTAGTCCAGATAGAAGATTGTGGAGCTGAATTTCCGACTGAAAAACTAACCTATTATGGTTTACACTATTTAAGAGTTGATTAGGTAAGATTCTCTTTAACTAACTCAATTCTTGATTATTTTGACATATACCGTATTTTAAAGAAGTGAGTCAAGTGACATCGTTCTGAATACAACAATATATGCTTATGAACAATTTCTTGTGGGAATTCTAATATATAGCTTATTCATTACCAAGTAAACTTTTCTGCTTCTCATATTTCACATCTTCACTTTTCTTATACATTAGTGTTTTATTGTTATTAATGATTTAGTCTTGTAGCTCGTCAAAATTATCTTGATTAATGCTATACTATCTGGGATCTTGCTTTATGAATATATATTATTTAATAAACGGTTGCACAATATAAATAAAGTTTTTAGTATAAAATAAATTAATAAAATATCTATAAATACGTATGAAGTACATACGCCCTCTTCTCTTCCAAAATCATTTATTTTTTAATATATCTAACTTGAGAAAATGCATAAGAATTATTGTTTCATAGTAGAACCTTCTATACCTGGGGTTAAAGTTGATCCATATCTTCGGGAATTACAGAAGAAAGCACGTAGCCTTGCTACAGTTGAGCCTCTACTTATAGTAGAATTCCCTCCATCAATTGATGAATATGCTTTTATCAAGCATAGAAAAAGTGGTCATCCTTATCCTACAAAAGCTCCAAATCCTTTTTTTTTTTATAGAAAGGAATATGTGTTACAGCTAAAAAAGTTAGGGAGGCAATATCCAATGACTGATATTTCAGGTCATGTTTCGCGTTCATGGAAAAATGAGTCAGATCATATTAAAGATTATTATAAGGAGCTTTCTAGAAAGGCTTCTGAATTAATGGAAAAGTACAAAACAAATTCACTTCCAGCTCGTAAACAACTTTCGAAAAAAAAGTCTTCAAGGCCGTCAAATAAACCGAATAGGAAAGTGCACACACCCCAACCTTCGGCTTTGATTGACACACCTATTATGCCACAACCCGAAACATTTATCAATACTGAATATTCTGAAGTCAATTATTTCAATCCTGTAATTTACAATAATGAACTTTATTATTTCGAACAATCGTGTGATGGTTATTTTCCGAATAACCCTAACTTCCATGACTTAATGTGTTCAATCCCGTGATTAAGTCTGATTGGTTGGATATAGCAAATTTATGCTACATTATTGCTACGTAATATATTGATATAGCTTGCTCTGGGATTAATGCCGTATTGTCGAGAAATAACGTACATGGCGTTATTTAGAATAATGTCCGAATTAAGCTTAATTTAGGCCAAAATTTGAAATTACACCCCTACGCAATTATTTCGCGACAATACAGTAATAATTTTGAATAGTGCGACCTGAGAGAACTTTATAACTTAATTTTTTTATAATTTGTGCTGGCAACATAATCTTGTACAGTTTCTTTTTGATTCAAACCCTGCTCTTATTATAATTACAAAATTATGATTAATTCATTTACTTCGGTAAATATTATTTATATGTAAATATGATAAATATCTTTTTTTGTTTATACAGTACATACAACAAATACTCTTTTGGTGATTTCAAACATACTATATTTGTTTTTTTAAATTCAGTATATATATATAATAAACCGGTTTCCGATATTATTTGAGATATTATATATGCAAATTTACTTATTTACACAAATGATACAAGCCAAAAAACTTATAAACAAATATAAACAAATATAGACTAGGTGCTAAGAAAAAAAATCAACAAAATTTACAAAACATTATTTTTATATTATAAAATTTAGAGAAATTATATATAAGAGCCCAAAAAATAAAAATAGTTATATATAAGAACCCAAAATAAAAATAATTATATATAAAAGCCCAAAGTTTAAAAATATTACAATTAAAAATTCAAATTTATATATATTTTTTAATGTTTAAGATGAGATCTTGCTTTTATTTTTATTAACTTAATAAAACTTTTTATTGAAAAAAGGTTTTATTTTTTAAATTTAAAACTAAAATAAAAACTTAAATACTATATACAAAGAGATCTCTCTAAATACACTTTCTATAAATGTATCCTTTATATAAAATCTCTTTAAGTGCATGGTCCTAGCTTATAATAGCATTATATATTTTGCTTTTTATAAATACATATCTTTTCTAAGTACATATTTTTAAAATTTTTTACTATAATTCTAAGAAGATATATTTAAAGAGATTTTTTAATACAACTAAATAAATCTAAAAATTCAGCAACTTTTTCTGATAATCATTTGGACCAAAATTCTTACTAAAGAAAAACAGAACTTTTGTTAAAGAGTTGTGGTTTAATGTAGCAGTTTGTCTAGAGGTCAACAGTACTACTTTTCTGGGACTTTTTTATAAATTGTGCATTTGATATACAAGCCAAAAGTATTAGTATACAAGATAACTAGCTGAAGGTGTGTGCTCTTGAATACAAAATTTTGGTGAAAAAAGAACAGTTTGTCTATCAACAAAGTTATTTAGGTTGTTACTTCTAGAGAAAAAATATAGGGAAAACAACAAGACTTTGCTTTTCCTCAAACCGCATTCTTTTACTTGGTCAAGTGGTTTTTTTTTTATTCCTACTTGCCCTCCTGTCAGTCTTTCAAAAAATTTCAACAAAATGTGAAAATTTGGTTTACTCTTTTTAAAAGATCGACATTGTTTACTTCCCAAATCTGAACAAATTAGTGAAATGAAACTATGTGTTTGTTTACAGATGAATATAGTGTTACTTTAAGGGACTCAGCCTGGAATCTCTAATTATAGCAGCAGGTGGCTTAAGATACAGGTCCTTGGACAATAGCAGCACCTGGCTCGAAATACAAATTAGAACAAGCAACAAAGCTATCCAGAGTTGGTGAGAAGGTCGGAAAGTAAATTTAATGTTAAAACGAAGCTTTACAGTAAAGATATACAAATATTGTATTTGTTATATAATTTTTATACTTGCCTGATATAAGTTATAATAGTGCTTTATTGATTGCTTTATTTTTTTTATTTTTATTTTTTTACTTTGGCTAAGTCTTGTCATAACTAACTATCCCTACTATATTAGCAAAAAAAAATATACGTAAAACTCTGTAAGTTTTTACGTGAACGTAAACTTACGAAAAACTTATGATTAGTTCAGAGTATTACGTAGGGGTAATAATTACAAAAGTTTACACTATAGAATTTTGGAGTATTATGTAGGATTAATAATTACGAACATTTATAGCTTAGTAAATTTAAATGTAGCAAAATGCAAATAGTCAAAAACTAGTGAATACATGCGTAAAATTATGAATATTTACGAACAACAAAAATTAAAAACATATGAAAACATGTGTAAATTTGCGTAAATTTGCATAAATCAATAAGATATTACATACAACAAAACATCAAAAAAAAGCAAAAATATAAATTATAAATCGAAAAAAATAAATGTAATAATTTTAATGTTTTCGTAAATATACGAAAA